TATTTATCTTGAAGTGCCAACACTGAAAATAACTTTAGTATTGCCTTGCAGTTCGGGCGCTGGGGTTTCAAAAATGTTCAGCATCACTGAATCAGGCAAAATAGGAAAACACACATATTCAAATATTTATACACTCATTAACCACTTGCTGTCCGGAGCAATTTCTTACATTTGCACACACATATGATAAAATCTGAATTGTTGGCTAGAAAACAGCTTCAGACCCCCAAACAATTATATATTTTCTGAAATCAGAGGTCCTGTAGAATAAAAAGATGCTAGTTGCAATTTTTTATGTCGCAGTGTATTTGCGCAAATGTTTATCAAACAAGTATTTTTAGGATAACATACACTAAAATGAAATTTAGTGCACAGAAACAGAATATAATGGCCAATTTTTTTGGTTGAATATAAAAGACGGGGTCAAACTGGGTAAATAGATACCAAACATGTCAAGCCTTAAAATTGCGTGCATCTATGAAACCGCAAAAAACTACAATAACCAAAATTTCCCACAGAACATTTCAGTGTCAAATGTACGCTCACAGTCAAGGACGAGTATCAACATCGTTAGCATTCCAGTGTGACCTAATTTAGGCATGCAAATGTATTTGAGCCAACAGAACAAGGTCTTCCGGAAATAAGAATCTGTGCACTTCAAAAAGCTGCCCATGGTTTTAATGTTGTTTATCCTGTCAAACCAGCATTCTCTTGTGGGAGGGTTAGTCTGCACAATGCTGGAATATATGCTTGAGGTACATTCATTATGTGAATTATAACTGAACATTTACGGACTTAAAGGGGTATGGAATAATGGTGTAGCAGAAATAAGGCCAGCTCTTTGGTGATTTGTATATCTATATATTTCAAAAATGGCTGGGGCAAGACCAAAAAATATGCAGAAAGTCACCTGGCAAGTATCCGCAACACCAACTTGTCTAAGGTGTTTTAGAAAGATAGAGTGTAGTAGTGGAAGCATCTGGCTTGAAAAAGAAGGTTTAACCTTTGAAACGCGTTGCCGTCAGCCCGGTCTTCACGGTTCTTCAGAGTGTCTGCTACACTCCACCCGTCCACAGACACCGCTCGCTTCCTGACACCAGGCTCCAACCACTCGGAACTTCTACCTCTGACCCGCTCTCCACGGCTCACGCCGCAACATCCGCACTATAGGCTTCTCCAGCAAACGCCTGCAGGTCACAGCTCCGTCGGGCTGTCCGAAAGCCCCAGCGTGAATCCTTCTCCACTGCGGCTGAACACTCCGGCACCCTGGCGCCTCCAACCGCTCTCCAGCTCCCCCATCCAGGACAACACGTCGCTCTACCGCTCCACAGCACCTGCCATCAGAGGACACCTGTGCCAGCATTCCTGAGGACCACCCCACGGCCCACCGCCCAGGCACAACACGGGCTGCACCGTCATCGCTGAGAGCCGCCCTCCACTATCCCCACGGTGAGTTACAGAAGCCCACCCCTTCTTCACCCACCATTGCATACCTCACCCCCTTGCGTTTGTATCCCCATCTGCCTACTGGGTTGAAACGCCACGCCACCCTGAAAAAAAGGGACCACTACCACCACCACTCCACCCCATCCGCTTCACTGCAACCCGACTATTACAAGCGAATACTCACCCAGCCTCAGGTGAGTACAGCACTTACGCTTACACCCCACTCTAACACATTTATTGCGCCAGGTAGTGGCGCTTCCGTCTCCAATTTTTTGTTTCCCTACAGCACACGTGTTGGACACCCCGGTCCAGACAGAACGGAATCCGCACAACTACGCTACCACCCCGTTTGCCCCCACCCCCCCTACTTATACCTACCACACCACAAGCATTAACCGGTGTACCCACCAAGTACTGCCTCCTCCGCATTTTCCCCGTACCTCTGACAAGCGCCACACAAGGGGTAAAACTCTCAATTTTTCACGTTGAAGCATCTGGTACCACCTCTTTCTTCTCCAGATTGTTGATATCTATTCTAATAGATGAGTTAAAGGAGAGGGTGAGAAGTTTGGTATTTTCCTCAGGGGTAAAATGGAGTTGTAGATTTTGTTTACAATTGTTTAAAAAGAGTGGGAGGTCCTTGTTCTCCTGGAGGAAAAGATTGTAGCAGAAAGAGAGAGTGTCTGGCAGGGTCAGAGCGCATACATTCCTGTTCAAAGAGGGGCAGAGGTCAGTCTAAAGCAGACGTTCTGGGAAGAGGGTTCAAAAAGTGAGCTAGTTGGCCCCATCACCAGTGTCTTACGGAACGAAGCTCAGAGTCACTAGAAAGGTCTTGATATGAGGGCCAGCATAAATTAGCATCCACTGCTAAGCTTCACTCTCACTGGCTTGTTAGCCCAAATTAATTTGTTTAGGTTTGCGGGATCCATGTCAGTAATGTTTGCAGAGGATATAAAAGTGTTGGTAAAATGTTCTGTTTGACTATGTTACATTTCCTTGTCCAGAAGGTGCTATGGGTCCAAACCTTCAGGTTGTTTTTAATCGTTTGGAGCAGAGGGGGAAATTCTAAAGTGAAGGCCTGTGTAGGGTTCCTTGGTAAATGTATTTTTAATAGATTGGAATGCCAGTTTAAAGGGGAAGTTGCAAGTGACCCTAGCACATATTGCACTGTGGAGGAAGAGAAGCAGGGGCTTCAACTTTTTGGAAGTTAATATGAAAGTTTGATAGGATTTTAAATTTCTTGAATGCCGAGATTTAGAAAAGAAACATCTGGAGATGTCAGAAAAAAAGAGGAGTAAAAGTCACCCTTTGGTGGTATCAACCCAAACAGACGTAGGAGATAGCTTTGTTAGCCCTGATTGTGTGAAGAAATGGTTGCAGTGTTTATATAAAGATGAGTGGTGATAAAGGGCACCCCTGTCTCATACCATTGGTAATATCAAATGGGTCAGAAAGGGTGCCATTGACACGAACTCTTGCAAAGGGGATGAATACAAGGATACAAGAATACAAGCAGGCAAGGGAACAGGCGGATGGATGATGTACAAAAAGGACCAATCAGCCTTGTCAAAAGCCTTCTCTGTGTCTGTGGAAAGTAAGAAAGAGGAAGTGGCCCTTAACTGGGCCAAGTGAAAAGTATTTAATCCTCGGGTGGTATTGTCTTTTGCCTCTTGAGTGGGCATAAAGCCCATTTGATCCAGGTGGATGATACCATTGAGATAAGGTAGCAGGGATAGATACGGAAGTCTGGCAAAGAGTTTCATGTCAACATTTAGTAATGAGCTGGGGCAATACCTGGGGCAGTAATAGATGAGGGTAAAGCCATCTTAATTTGTTGCAACACCGTCTTTCCTTTTGGAGGGTGGCTACTTTTGTTTCCCATGGTCTCTGTGTTTGTTGTAAAGTAGGCACCTCTCCAAGATTTAAAGGAGAACTATGAGGTGAGTGATTTTTTTTTTTAAATCAGATGGTTTTTATTTGTATTTTTTGGAAATTTGCATAACAATAGGACAATGTATACATTGCTCTGTAGTATAAAGAGTCGTAACAGTAGAACATACAACAACACTAGCCATGTGACCGGGTTGGGAATACAGACATACAATTTGGGGGGGGGGGGTTTGAGGTGAGTGATGATCACTCACCTCATAGTTAGAGCTGACGTGTGACAATGAAACTGTCACACATCGGCTCTATTGATCGGGAAGTGAGTGAACACATACCGTCGCTCTCTCCCTTTCCGATCATCTCCCTGCAGAGGGAGGTGACTGTCATTCACCGCTCCCCGCAGTGATTTCCCCCTCCCTTCTCCTCCAGTGCTGACTGGAGGAACGGACAGGGGAGGGGGCGGGCACAGCTGGCTCTGCCTCTAGATAGGCAGATTCTGCTGCCATTCAGCTAGCTGGGTGGATCTTGACAGTATTGACAGTGTTTGGTTTAAAGTGGGCGTGGTCAGTAGGGTGTTCCCCCAGATTTAATTTTGAAAATTTGGTAACCTTAACAAAGAGACTACAAAGACAAAGAGACAAAGTCACATCTGCCACCGCAGCAGAGGTCCTTGAAGTCCTCAATGAAGTACAAGTGCGTTGACAACACCACACTTCTAGTCCGTTGACACTTCCCCCAGTCCTGTAGCTGAAAGCCTGTACCTCAATATGGACAGTGACTGGGAAGAATATTCTGCAGGAGCCTAAGCCCTGAACCCACAGTCCACTGATCCCATGCCAAAAAAATATTTAAAGCTTTTTGTGTGTGTGCATTCATTATGCTTTTGCAAAAGGCGGCTTAAAGTGACCCTATCACACAAGGGTCACTTTTACTCATTTCACCACTTTGTAAAGAAGTCATATACTTTCTTGCGGCCCTTGTATTCAAAAGCAGACGCTTCCCCTGAAAGTATCTGAGTGGTTGGATAAGTTTAATACTTGCTCACCCTGGTGTACACTGTGGTTCCTCTCACTAACTCATACATCCTGTAGCAATGAATGAGTCAGCGGACGGAACCACAACAAGTTATGGGGGTGCAAGTATTCTACACACCCAGCTGTAAATGAACACCCAAAAATCATTTAATATAGAAAAAAAACTACAGTTCCTCTTTAATTAGCGGCATCCTGTAAGAGAACAAAGAACGCATGCCGGTGTGATATTCAAAAGAAAATCGTCATTTTCCTCTGACGAGGATAAAAAAAAAAGTGCAGCGTACTTTGTATCTTCAGTTTTCAAGGGCGCATACTATCACCACACAAGACATACTAGAGATAACACGATGTACTATACACGAAACATTTTACAGACGAGCCAGCGGTTCGATTATTGGGTGTGGCTGCAAGGGATTTGAAATGCCGCACCTTACTATCTGATACTGCAACACGGCCTTTTACCGCACTATTACTAATTTCTTCATTGACATCATAGCATTCTGGGGAAGATTTTTTTTTTCTTTTTCTTCGGCTGATATCCTTCCGCCACCCGCAATCCTTCCAACCAATGAGAGAGCCGGTTCCTGCAACTTTCCTTATATGGCCTGGCCGGCTGGGAGCGCGCAGTATAAAATCGGTGCCGAGCCCTCTTTCAAGTCACTGACCACTTGCATCGCATTCTGTTTGGTGTGGAAGACGCTCGCAGCTCAAGGTAACGAGGGAACTATGGCATTGTTAACGGGGCGTATGGTTATTGCTATTCTATTGTTACATTTCAAGGTTTTGGAGGGCGCAGTGTAGTCTTTAATGGCGTTTTACAGCAGCAGTTTTGTTTTTTTTGCTCGGATTGCAATCTGCATAAGGGTAGCATGAGTCATACTAGTCTTTGTATAACGGGGTACTTCCTAGAGGGAGTGGTAAAGGCAGAAATTCAGCATAGCCATTGTATCTACACCAATATTAGAAATCGTGATGGGCATTTCCAGTCCCTGTATCTTTAATATTTGATCTAGCAGTTAAAGCAAGGCTTGCTAAAAGGTTTTAACCCTAGCAATGCTGGCTTCAATCAACTAATCAAACAATGGATTGCATTAAAATTGAAAGTTGTTTGAAGTGGGCTCAAAGTAACATGCTCTGCAGATAATCAGATTCTAGATTTAGAAATTTGATGTAGTTTATTTGTTTTATTGCGTGTAGCTAGATCTCATTTGTATAAGTGTTGCAGAGATTGGCTTGGTCATGTCTAGATAATGGTCGTCGTGGTGCAGGGCGTCTACTAGATTCCCAGAAACGTCGTCTTATTTCCCTTATTTGAAGGGCTGGCTTGTCAGAAGGCAGTAGTATGTAGAGGGTTCACTGGTGTTATGTCCCCACCCCCCTGCCGTTAATCTGGTCTGTTGCCTTATTTGGTAATACTTCGGTCCAGGACTTCCCTTTGTTTTATCAAGAAATGGTGCAAACCCATACGCCCTCTGCAGGCAGCTTCACCAGTGCACAGCACATTGTGATCCTTGCTGACCTCAACTCTCATTCAATTTCAGATCACAATGGAAGATGATATCGCCGCCCTGGTTGTTGACAATGGCTCTGGAATGTGCAAAGCTGGCTTTGCAGGAGATGATGCTCCTCGTGCTGTGTTCCCATCCATTGTGGGTCGTCCCAGACATCAGGTATGTGGATGTTTTCTTTTATGTATAATGTACTTGCATAAATTTAGCCTTTGCCTTGCAGTGTCCCATAGCTTATAAAAGGGTTTGATAGAAACAGATTTATTAAACTACAAAAATGGTGTTGCTTTTCTGAAAACAACCTAAACCTTGAGTCATCAGTCTTTGTATAACCATGGGCTTCCTAGGGAGAAATTCAGTGGGGTCTTTGTATTTACACCAATATTAGATGTTAGAAAAGGATCATTAGAAAGCCTGTGGTGGTTAGCTCTTCCTTAGCTGATGGGTAGTAAGCTATTCCAGTCCCTGTAGCTGCAGTGCTACTGTAGGGTATACAAGGTTCCACAGCAACAGATCTGGCAAACTACAAAAATATGGGTGTTGCTTTTTTGCAAACTAAACAATCTACTTTTTAATATAAAGAAAAAAAAATCCTAGCCAAGCAACATAAGGCAATACACCTATTAAAATGGCATTGCAACTTGCTTGCAGTGTGGTTTTTGTACTTTTTTATTTTTTTAACCTTACCACATTGAGATGTGTTATCTGGGAAGAGGTGGGGTGGTTAATGCACTGGGATTCTGGGTAACCTAATTGCTGTAAAATCCACAGCTAGTGATCAGATGTAATGTGCTAGTTTTTTTTTTTTTTTTTACATTATAATTTATGTGCTATCTTATTAAAGACGTTGGTTAACTTTCATCTGTTACCACAAATTTGACAGTCTTGTGGGAAACTAAAATGTTCTTGGTGCACCTGGACATCTCAGTCGTCCACATGCAGAACAAAGGACAACTCCTATTATATCATGTCACGGCATACCTCCCACATGCTATTGCTGACTTGGTGGTAGGGCCCAGTTCAGACCCTGGCTTTTAAATGCTGCTCTAAAGACTCTCAACCAGCAAACATTCATTTAAAAGAGCCTGTCGGCTCAAGCTGGGGTGTTGCATGTATCTTAATTGGACAGCTGGCTCTAGGTTCAAAGTTAATTAAGTGGGATTGAAATACAGGAGCTCATATTACTTTGATTACAGAAATGCATCCTCTAGGAACCAAGCATGTACCTGCCAGATGTCACAGTATCTTGCATGTACATGCTTGATCAAGGTCATGGCCTTTGAAGTAGTAAAGGAAGGATGACCGCTTTATAAGTCTGCTCTAATTGGTTTGGAATGCTATCGCTGTACTACAGAAGTGATGGTTTAATTTATTTCTGACAAACTTGGGGCAGACTTTTGAATGCTGAGAATGCAATATAGTAATTACATTGTGATTGCCATTTAGTGTTTAGCATGCATTCTCTATACTACTCGGCTTTAATGGCTATCTCACTTAGAAATACATACACTTCTGCTTAAGTGCTGTCAAGGTGTAGTTGTGCTAGCATTGAAGGTTAAGATGTGAAATTCCTCGAACTGTGCTCCAGCTAGCTGAGTGGTCTTGATTTATATATCGGGAATATGCTATTGGATCAAGTGTAAGTCTTGGATTCTTCTGCTAGCTTATTGTGCAGCCTGAAGGCAAGCTTATAAGTAGGAGATGGCTGACTCACTCATTCTAATGAATGGTGTAGGGCTCACTGTTGTGCAATTACAAAGGCTGTATACACTAGCAATTAAAAGACCTCACCTTGAGGGCTGTTTTCTAACTGTTCAATTTTAATGGAATTTAAGTATACTGCATGCAGCCTCTTGTGTTGCATACATGTTTACTTGTTTCTCTTTGTTTAGAATGTTGGTCAGGGAAATGACTTGTAATCTGTAGGTGATGATATCAGTATATCCTTTAACACAGGTCTTAATTCCATTTCAGTTGAAGTGCAGCTTCCTGACTGAAATATAGGCCTTTTAAAGTTCCACACTGCATCTATGGGCACATAGGTTGGTATTGATGATAGCTGTGCCTTTGATAGCTGTGCCTTTAACTTTCGATAGTTTGGGCTGTTGATGGTTAAATGTGTAGTTTGAGACCTCATTTTGTCAAACTGGTGAGAACCCACCGGCTTGACCAATGGTCTAATCCATTTGTAGTACTTGGAAATCAGAATGTGACATCCTGCCAACTTCTGGGACAACTGCGGCACTCTTCAGATGTGTAAGGCTGACTTGTGGTGGTTTTTTACATTTATTTTTGTCAATAGTGAAGGCTCAGTTCGTCTGAGCCTAAAATGTCAGGAGTAGGTTATAAAATGAGTGACCATGTGAGGTTTTCCACTTTAAAAAGCAGAAGGTGATCATCTCCCCCACCCCCAGATCCTGGTTTAGGAGTCACTTAGTCACTTATTTGTGGTCAGAATCATTCATTAACACGAGTGCAAACATTTACTGGTCTTGATGCAAATGGTTTTTAACAAATTTTTTTTTTTTTCCTCCTTCCCAGGGTGTCATGGTTGGAATGGGGCAGAAAGACAGCTATGTAGGTGATGAAGCTCAAAGCAAGAGAGGTATCCTGACTCTGAAATATCCAATTGAACATGGAATTGTCACAAACTGGGATGATATGGAGAAAATCTGGCACCACACCTTTTACAATGAGTTGAGAGTTGCCCCAGAGGAACACCCAGTGCTTCTGACTGAAGCTCCACTTAACCCCAAAGCAAACCGAGAGAAGATGACACAGGTACTACTATTGGTCAGGGCTTTTAACAAGTTTAGCTTACTGCATAATATGATGGGTTTAACAGGTTTAATTTGCTGTCCATACAGGGTTCTCTTGCCTGACTCTTCTTTGGAATATCTACAGGTTCTATTTGCAATGCTTTTTTTGCTTGTGCCACTAACAGTTGTGCAGTTTGAATATTTTGAACCTTTAACTCTTGTATGAGTTGTTAACAGATCACTGCCTGCCTTTTTTTTTTAATGCCCGCATTGACTTTGAATTAATGTGATCAAAGTGAGATTTGAAGTGTCTAAACATCACTTTCAGTCTTGCAAGTACACCTGCATGGTTTGCAGTCTTCAATGTGTGAACCTCTGACTAACTTTTATGTCTTGTTTCAGATCATGTTTGAGACCTTCAACACTCCAGCCATGTACGTTGCTATTCAGGCTGTACTTTCTCTGTATGCCTCTGGACGTACCACTGGTATTGTGATGGACTCTGGAGATGGTGTCACTCACACTGTGCCAATCTATGAGGGCTATGCACTGCCTCATGCCATCCTGCGTCTTGACTTGGCTGGACGTGACCTGACAGACTACCTCATGAAAATTCTGACTGAGAGGGGTTACAGCTTTACTACCACTGCTGAAAGAGAAATTGTGCGTGACATTAAGGAGAAGCTGTGTTATGTAGCTCTGGATTTTGAGCAAGAAATGGCTACAGCTGCTTCCTCATCTTCTCTGGAAAAGAGCTACGAGTTGCCCGATGGGCAGGTCATTACTATTGGTAACGAACGGTTCAGGTGTCCAGAAGCCCTGTTCCAGCCATCTTTTCTTGGTGAGCATTGTGAAAGGTGGTTTTGTGGAGTGGGGGGGATTTCTTATTGGTCTCTTCTAATCTAACATTATGTCTTAGGTATGGAATCGTGTGGTATCCATGAAACTACCTACAACTCCATAATGAAATGTGATGTTGATATCCGTAAGGATCTGTATGCCAACACTGTCCTTTCTGGAGGAACCACAATGTATCCAGGAATTGCTGATAGGATGCAGAAAGAAATTACTGCACTAGCTCCAAGCACCATGAAAATTAAGGTACTTTAATCACCACAATTTTAAAGATTTGTTTTGTAGCACTTTTGTTTGCACACGTGATTTAGTTTTTGTGTATACTAGGCAGGAGGCTGAGCATGGGTATTTGTAAAGGATTAGTTCTCCATGGTTAGAAGTGATTTTCATAATTTCATGTGTTTTTGCAGATTATTGCACCACCAGAACGTAAATACTCTGTATGGATTGGAGGCTCCATCCTGGCATCTCTTTCCACCTTTCAACAAATGTGGATCAGCAAGCAGGAGTATGATGAATCTGGTCCTTCAATTGTCCACCGCAAATGCTTTTAAGGACTTGCCCTTATGTTGTATTTGTGCAGAAAGATCACTGGCATGGCTTTCCCTATTGGCGCTTGGCTCAGGATTTAATAACTGGAATGGAGAGATGGGGACAAACACCAACCCACAGTGCACCTGAGGACTAACAGTATTTTTTTTTTTCTCTCCAAGTGTATAGTGCATTGTTGAAAAGTGTCCTCAATGCTGCTCAGTTGGAGCTTACAAATGGTTGTGTTGCTTATTTGTGCAGCTATATACCCGAACTTTTATTTTTTTGTATCTTCTGCCTTGACCACTCTACTCTTTATCTCATGGGCCCTATCTCTGACATTTTTGAAAAAGTTTACGTTGTTTACGTTGTTGATCTTGATGAGATGCAAGAGGTCAGTGAAAACAAACTTAATAAAGAAAGGAAAACAAAATCAATGCCTTTTTCATTTATTAACGTGTGTGGAAGGGGTGGTGTCTGTGCTGGAAGGGGAAAGTAAGGGCCTTTGATATCTAGATGTGCTTCAGTGGCATTACATGGCAGAACCAGTCAGCTGTATTACAACATGGAACTCATCAGTGTAGATTATTTGGCTTAAAAAGACCAGTCTTGTCCTCTTAATGCAAAAAGTTGTCGGATATCTAATCACAACTACAAAATGACCCTGGGAGGTCAATTCACACAAACGTTGTTTCTCTTTAGTTTTACACACTTTTCGTTTGACAACATGGTATTCATGGAGTCCCAATCCTTTAACATGCTTCTGACTGAAGCATAGGGGAGTTAGAAGTGTTTTTAGCAACTGAAGTGTTACATTTTTACATCTTGAATTGTAGCATTAACCTTTTAAGGTAAAATAAATTTGCATTCTGGGACCAGGACGGGACTAGTGCTTAATTACTTTCAACAGATGTAAACTTTAGTTTAATAAAGTGCAATGTTTACAAAGTTTCCATAATACAACCTGACTCCCAAAAATAAGAATACAAAAAGATACAATTTATCACAGGCAAACTGTTCCATCTTGCAAAAAAGGGGGCTTCGCTACCAGAAGTTGTGAATTCAATCCACCTCAATTTCCCTCTCGGAGCAGAAAAGAACACCTGAACTCACAATGACACTCTGAAGGAGGTGCTTATGTAACCATTGTCTAACAGTTGATAAATAGCCCAAAAAAACTTTTTGACTTGCACTTCTATAAATGATTAGGCTAGATCCAGATGTGGTAACAAGCTTTGTTTTTACTTTTCAGACTTCTGTACTGAAAAGGTACAGATACCAGTTATTGGCAAATGTTCTTGGTCACCTTAGACAGTTTAGATGACTGCTTACTCTTCTGCCCCCTTATGCAATTTGTACTTAAAGCTAGGCTCACATCTTGTCAGCTTGAGGAGCAGGTCTGTCTTGGCCTCTGGTAAAATGGCAGCCTCCCCATTTTGAGCATAAAAAAAAATATTGTCCTGTACCACCTTTTGCCTGCTTCAGTGGCTGGCTGTAATCAGTGTGGGTTTAGTATAACAGGGAAGTGCATATGAAGCCTTTAATGTCAGTGGTGGCTCCAGGGTACCCAGTCATAGTGGGTGAAGCCACTACATACTGGTGACTCAATCAGTGGAGTGGGGACAGGAAATAGCCTGCTAATGCTGGCAAGTACCTCATTCAGTAAAGACTGGTAACCCAACAGACTGCTGGGGTGACCAATTGCTCTCCAGCTTCAAGGCAAATTTTTTTTTTTAGTTCTTTATAAAGGCACACAACAGATACAGCCAAGTACACGATAGGGCAGAGTCATTCACAAAGTACACACCATTGGCAATCAAGTAGATATAGTGCAACAGTAATCTAAAACATATATTGTGGGGCCCCAGCAATATCAAGTTTTTCATATTGCTTCAAGGCAATTTTGTATTCTATTGCAAGCCCTGCTTTTAGGGTCTGTTCACACTAGGGATGTCCCCATACCACTTTTTCAGGACAAGTACTTCCCTCCCCCTCATGTACTTGCTGATACTAATTACGATGCGTTTTTTTTTTTTTTTAGGGACAGGTGACTAAATGAGCCATAGTTCAACTACATGTTATGTACTATGGATCATGTTAGCAGGGGAGAATTGTAAATCTATTGCTGTAGTGGAGGTGAGTGCTGTATATATATATATATATTACATATATTACACATGTCCAGTACACTATAGCAATAGATTTACAGCCAGCCTTGTCCCAGCTTCCCTCACTCAATTTCACTCTGATCCCTGTTGCCTCACGCAGTACCTCATAGTCATCGCTGGGCAGGATCGCTGCATCGCGCCTCGGTGCTCAGCTTGTTGGAGGCGCTCACAATTCTGCCCTGCTAACATGAATAGGTTAAATCATGATCCATAGTACATATACAGCACACACGTCTAGTAGTCTGCAGCAATAGTGTTACAATTCTGCCCTGCTAACAATAGGTTAAATGATCCATAGTACAACTACATATTGTACTGTTATGTACTACGGATCATTTAACCCATTCATATTAGCAATGGAGAATTGTAAATCTATTGCTGCAGTGTACTGGACGTGTGTAACATACATGTACTACCTATAGATTTACAATTATCCTCGGCTAACATGAATGGGTTAAATGATCCATAGTACAAAACTTGTACTAAGAATCATTTAACCCAGGGGTGCCCATTAGGAAGATTATGATCTACCAGTAGCTCTCGAAGCTGTTCCTGGTAGATCAGGAAGGGTGTGAATGATGGCCCCTTTATTCCATTTTTGGTATATTTATTTAGCTGTGCACACATGATTACCTATTAGCCTGAGTCTGCTGAGCCAAGCTCCCTGACACCTTTCTGGTGGATACTGGTGGTTGTGGTTGAAGTGCTATGTATTACATCAAAGAATATTAGTTTACACAGCCTGTTGCAACATACAGCAAAGTGAGCCAGGAGAGAGAGCGAGGAAGTGACAGTCAGGGAAGAGACAGCCAGGGGAGAGAGCGAAGAGACAGCCAGGAGAGAGCGAGGGAGGGTTTTTTTTTCGTTGGTAGATCTCATGTAGCTAGTCATTTGAAAAGTAGATCTTAAACACAAGGGCACCCCTGATTTAACCTATTAATATTAGCAGAGGATATGGGCACACAACACATGCTGGCCTGGTTAAACATGAGATGACCATGTACACACCCTGTGGAGGGGATCCCTGAGCCTGCAGTGCACAGAAGGTGACAGGCCTCTCTACATATGTATGCAGCATGTAAACACACAAAAGGAGCCAGGGATCCTGCCCTGTGCACCCTCCACCATTATAGCAGTCCGATGGGGCCCAGGCCCGTGCACACGTAGCCCTCTCCTCACGCTGGCAGTAATAGCTTGCACGGCCTCGTCTTCCCCTCCGTCGGCGCTGTGCGGGAGAGCAGCGGCGAGTCATCGCTGGTCCGGTGGGAGAAGCTCCTGGTGGGGTCCTAATTTAGCTGGCCGGCGACTGCCGGCTAAATTAGGACCCCACTTGAAGCTCCTGCCACCAGACCAGCTCTGACTCGCCGCTGCTCTCCCAAACAGCAGCCGGAAGGTAAGGGGGGAAAAAAAATTGCACAACCTTTGGCGCTATGTATCGGGGCATTTTGACAAGTACAAGTATTTGTCAAAATGCACTGTATCGATACCGATGCCAGTACCGGTATCGGGACATCCCAGTTCACGCCATATGCAGTGCGTTCCGGGTGGGAAACATGATTGCGGCTGGCTCCCTTTTTAGGAGGGGGCATGGCCGCAATGCGTTCGCTCCCCGCACGGGATCGCAGGGCACATTGCGCCTGTGGTCCGGTCAATATAGTGCTCGCAACATTTTGAGAGCACCGCACTGTACCGCACCACAGGCACAATGTGCTCTGCTATCCCGTGCGGGCAATGCAGGACATGGCTACGGCGCCTCCTGCCCGGCAAAAAAGGGAGCTGGCCGCAATGTGATGCAGTGCGTTCCGGCCAGAATGTGGTTGGAACGCAATGCATATGGTGTGAACAGATCCTTAAAGGAGAACTATGAGGAGTGATTTCCACTCACCTCATAGTTCTAGCCGACCTGTGACAATGAGACTGTCACAGGTCGGCTCAGTAGATCGGGAGGTGAGCGAACACATACCAGGTTCGCTCACCTCTCGATCCTGTCACTGCTCTCTGCCGTGACAGGGAGAGGGCTGGATTCCCCTCTCCCCGCTCCGATCTGCCAGCGCTGACTGGCGAACGGACAGGGGAGGGTACAGATGGCTCTGCCTCTAGATAGGCAGAGCCAGCTGTCATTCACGCAGCTGGGCGGATCCCGTCATCTACGTCGGGATCCGCTCAGGCGTCTCAGTATACTGAGCTTAGGGTAATGGGAGGACGCTAGTTTGTGTCCTCCCGTTACGCAAAGGAGAACTATGGGGGAAAAACACTGACCCCATAGTTCTCCTATAATACAGATTGCAGCCATCTACATTGGATGAAAGCTATACTAATGCACCCCTACATTTTTAGGAAGTTCAGCTTTAATTATAGGACAGCAATGGTGCAACACTGAGGGCTGCTCTCTTAAGGTGCCCATACACCTTAAGATCATCGGACGACACTTTTTTGTCTGATCGAAACGTCGTATGATTTTTGTACAGCGGCCCCATCCTGCCCTGATTATCGCAAGGTTGGATCAGCGGTAATTAGAAGAAAGTACATGGACAAATTGCAGTAATTGACCGCACGTATTTTCGTCTGCGCATGTGCAGTGTAGATCGTAAGAATATTGACGTACAGACATGCCACCAACCTTGCAAAAATCGTACAAACCACTGAAGTTTTCTAACCTGGTTAGTCAAGTCGATCGATTGTACAGTATTTGCAGTTGTACACTGCCCATCAACCTTATGATGGGCACACACCTTACAACCATCGCAAGACTTTTGTCTTGCGATGGTTGTAAGGTAATTAAAGAAACGTACGATCTGCCCATCTTGGACAGGCATATCGTACTTGCGATGACCGCAATGCTGAACGGGCAGTGTGCGCTTGCGGCTTTTATCTTGCGAACATGCCACAAACCAGCAACATGTTCCTAAGATAAAATTCGTGCGACCTTACAGTAGCAGAGATGTCCAAGGACCTGTAGCACACCTTACCAGACTTCCCATGTGGAAAAATGGGTGCTCGCAATGACTACGGATGGCGCCGTATCGAATGAAGATTCACTAAAATATTGACGTATTCTGTCATACTTGGAGTGCTGGTGACATCCATACAACATCTTACAGTAGCAGAGGTCGCACACCTTCCACACACCTTGCGATAATCGTACGATCGCGGGATTTTCCGCGATTATCGCAAGGTGTGTGGGCACCTTTACGAATATCGGACGAAATCGCATACGAAAATCGTACGATATTCGTAAGGTGTATGGGCACATT